TTAAAATAATGAAATTATGAAATCAAGCTCAATAAGAGAGAATGAAGAATATGGATCAATAAAAATAACTGCTACTTTAATCAGGACGTTAAATAATATTCTTTTTCTTCAAACAGTTACCTTATAAAGCTGTGTGCTTAGCCTTGAATAGTAGATTATTTTTTTTCATTGATTGCTTTACCTTTTCATAAATTTTTATGGTGTAGTACAGGACCAATTTGGTGAAGGAGAGAAAAGTAAGAAGATACGTAAACCAACATGTTTGACAGTGACTAAGCACAGAAAATCTTTTTCAAAGTGCTGAGAGGATGCTTTATCAATGACGCTGTCTGTACTTGACTACTATCATCTCCACACATAACTTTGCAGCAAAACATAAGCTAGCTTTGTAATTTGTGATTGTGAAAGGTGTCTCAGACTCTTAATGAATTTTAAAGGAAAAAATTTTTAATTTTGGCTAAACCTACCAGTCTGTCTTATTAAATGCATCACTTGGGTGATGTATTAGTCCTGCAGAAGGTACTGCCTCTTTGTATCAAACAATTGCTTTTCTTAGCATAGAGTTGTCTGTGTCACATCACTAATGTTCTTACTGCCAACTGTGTGCATGTAAAGCTGAAAGTCGTGGGGTTTTTCCTCTTTTCTCCTGCATGAGCATTGCAGTTAAAGTATTTTTTTTCTAAATGTAAATGTTGAAATGTTGAAAACATGATGAATGTAAAACTGTTGAGTAATATTCTCTTTTACGGCATAAAAAGAAAACCTACCAGAGTGCTTTTATCAGTTGGTATGAACATGTTCCATGAAAGATGATAGTCCAGTCTTTTACTCATTTTCAGAAGGAAAATTGGATGTTCATAACAAAGTGATTTTGTTTTTCTCCAAGCTTGCATTCCAGATAGGTGCTGTTAGAGTCCACATATTAGTTTATGTCCATCAGGCTACATTGTGAAGAATTTATGAGGAAATGACCAAGAAAAGAACTGAAGAAATCATAACAGGTTCATTTACATAGGGTGACTTATAAATGGTATTTAATAGATGGGTTCATGTAGACTCTCCTGTAATATTTAAGAAAAGCCTGAAGAGAGTAAGTTGAATGCTTTATTCACAAAAGTTGTACTGTAGGTGTGACTTGGGAGAGAAAGGTTTCTGTGAGATGACTTAACTTCTTGGTTAAATTGTGTTTGTTCAAGGCTGTTGGTAGGTTTTCTATTTGAGAGATAGTTGAAACACAGAATCTGCAACGTGGTTGCTGCAGACTGTATGTTAGTATGGTGAGTAGAAACTGTAAATTCTAGACCAGTGCCATTATAGGAAACCTGAGTGGGAGGTTATTGGATATTTATTTAGGAACATTTTGACATGGTTAAGACCTTCTGTCACACTTTGCAGTGTGCAATGTGATTGTGATTCCAGATGTTAATCAATAAGTTAGCTCGGTTGGTTAGAGCATAGTGCTAATAACACCAAGATCCTGGGATTGATCCTTGTATGGGCCATTCACTTAAGAGTTGGACTCAATGATCCATGTGGGTCCCTTCCAACTCAGAATACTCTGTGATTTAAAGTAATTTAAGTAGTGAACTCTAGATCTTGCAAAGACAGTTCCTGTTTCACACTTGGCCTTTTGTAGTATAAACAAGCTTCAGAGCAAAACTAACTAAATAAAAGTGAGTAGCCGGAATCTATTTGGTGATATAATACTTTTCCAGACCTCATGCTTTTCTGTCTCAAAATAAACACTTTTTGCTGCTTGTGGTATTTTGAGGGAATTTTTTCTTGATTCTTAAGTGTCATGCTCTAACAGCAGGTATAGAAGTTGTCTAGAATAGGAAGGATATTTGCGTGCGTGAAAGATGTGGTAAAATTTTAAATCAGAAATTGCTGCTACTCTATCTGAGCTTTTGAAGGAAGCTACAACAGTGAATTGTAACACTGAAAGTGAGGCTATGTTTGTGTTTGGCTGTTGGGTGCTGAACTCAAACTAGTGAAAGCAAAGTGCAGATAAGACTGGGAAGAGAGAGCAGAGCTTACAGTGAAATTATCAGGGAGCCACCAAATAAGTAACTGGCTGTGTAGGATCTGTGAGGCCTCAAACAGACTTTAAGATGACTTCAGGACCTATACCTTACCCTCAGTTTCTCACAAACCACTTTGTATATTTAGCAGTTGTAGTTGAAATTACTGTATGTTTTAGAATTGTAATGTAAATATAAAAATCTGAACCCGGGCATCCTGGGCTAGAGCAAGGAACAAAGAATTCAGATAAGTTAGTTCTAGTAAGAAAAGGCAGGAATAAAATTTGAAGGAAGGCAGGAAAAAGCTTTTTAGTACAGAAGATCTTTAAATGATTTTTAGTTGTCTGCAAAATGAAAGTTTACTAAATGTGTTTTAACAGAAGGAGGCAGAAATGAGTCAGATGACAGCTAATTGTGGCTATACTGAAGAAGTATTTACGGGTTTATGAGTTAGAACTATCAACATGAGTGCAATATACCTGAAAGATGCCCGTCTGGACAGTGTTGAAAAAAAACAAAAAGAAAGAAAAAGGGTTATAGCAAAGATGTAAATGTATGGTAAAGTGGCTGTGCTGATTAGATATGCAAGGCTGTACTAGAGGTCATCCTTCCTTCTTTTGGAAACTGTACCCCTGTCCTTGATATCTCTCTTAACCAATGCAAAGAGGGTTATTAAAGAAACAAAACCAAATAAAAAAAGCACAATTATCAGTGGTCTTCGCTGTTTTGTGACATCCTTAAGTTTGCTACATTTTAAATAAGACTGCAGTGTGAAAGATTTCAAGGGCTGGAATTCCCAAACAAAAAGTTTACACCAAGTTTCTTTGTATGCTGCTTAACATTGATCTTCAAACTTGAACCCCAAGAATCCACTTGTTTTCAATATTGTTTAAATTTAGTTGATTATATTGAATAATCTACAGCCTGAGTTTCTAAAAGTCTAGAAGACTTGCTGTGTATATGTGTATCTTATCTTCAGAGAACTAATTGCTGCAATATGTTAAGGATTACCTCTTTCCTAAGGAGGAAATATAAACAATTTGAATAATACCACTTAAAAAAAATTTTTCTAAGAAGATATTTTATGTTTTTTTCCTCTTTTTTGTGCCACTTAGTGTAAAATCCAGGGTAGGAAGCACTCAGTATCCACTCTGTTTTAATTTTAATATAGGTGGCATAGAAACTCATAAGAATTTTATCACAGTATAGGTTTTTTTTATTAATAAATTGATTTACAAAAATTTTTAATAATATATTACCATATGTGCTTTATGGTTAAGTACTAGAGGCTTAAAATCTAACAGCACATTTTTTACCTGAATTTACTTGTGGCCTGGCTAGCAGCCAGAGTCCTTGCTTTACACAATAGAAAGTATAGGCACTTTTTAATACTGAATTGCATACTTGCTTTTCAGAAGGAAGGGATTAGATAATCTCCTTTGTGTCAATGAATCGCACCTTTTCTTTACAAATTTTTCTGGAGAGACAAGAAGCCTCTTTCACTGTCAGTCCCCTGAAGGGTAAGAAGTGACAGTCTTCAGTGAGGTGCATTTAGAGAAACGACTGTCAGACAAGAAAAGGGTTGCTGATGACTAGTACTTATTTATGGTACCCTTGCTAGTATTTTTCTTAGAATACACTCCATGTGCTTCTTACTTAGACATTTTTATTTCTTCAGAAGTCAAGCCTTAAAATAAGATACGCAAAAACTTTAGTGAATGTTCAGCTGTGAAGGCTGGAGTTTGAGTTGTTTCATCAGCCAGTAAAGGAGAGCAAGCTCCACTGCCACATACTGTTCCAGATCTCCCAGGCAATTCCTTTTCATAATGATATGAAATGCTAATTATGTCCTGTGCTGCTTTTCCCTTGTTTCTGTCACTTAAAGGAAATACGATGCACACTTTCAGACAAACTTCCTCCTAATCTATATACTGGGAGTTTCTCATGCTTTCTGGTTTTCTGATTTATCTTGTCACACTTAAGAACGTATGTTTTATGTGGCAGATCTCTTCTTTAAAATTCCCATGATACTGAGCGTAAAGGTTTTGTTTATTTCATAACTTCTAGTGATGAGGACAAACTTTTGGGGTGCAGTTCAACTTTTACAGGAACCAGTTCTTTCTTTTATAGTATCTGCAGAACATTTTACTGTCATTATTTATTAATCAGGTCTAGTGAGTCTGAGATTTTGTAATTTGTAATTATAAAACAATTAGAAATATGTTGAGACTTAGATGACAAGAAGGGGTGTCGCTTAAAATACTCATGTCCTTGATTTTAAAAGAAAATCACTACTGGATATGCTAGCAGTAAGTAGCAATCAAAAGTACAATTGCCATTAGGTATTCTCTAGCCATGGCAGCTTTTATCCTTAGTGTACCTTGGGAATGTTCTTTAAGCAAGGGACTTTTTTGCCACAAGGCATTTTAACTCAGACTTCTTGATTAGTCGAGTTTTACATTCAGTGCAGTTTAGTTGTGTGTTTGTGATGGGGTGTGTTGTGATTGTCTTGTGTATTTTAGTTCTCTTTTTTTTTTACTCTGTTATTAGTCTTAAAATAATCCTCTAATTGCACTCTATGGAAAGACATAGCAAATACTAACATCAAAGTGCATGCAGCAACCTGAAGACTATAATGTACAATACCATCACAAACCTTTTTTGGATTGTACATTGCCAGAAAAGAAGTGTCAAGTTTTAATAGAGAGTATTCATAGTAGCAACCCAAAAAAGCATCAAGTATAGTTACCAATGTCCAGTGTGTTTTTATATAGTCTTTTAGACAAGAATAAAAGCTTTCATAAGAAGGAAAATTACCCTGACATTTAAAACAACTTCTCTAAAATGGCAAATGCAAATTAAATATGAGGAATTTGGGGTAAAGACTCTTATAAAAAGGGTCACTGTTAAGTGTTTTATGCAACGTACATGGCCTTTGTTCTTTCTATGATGGTAAATTTTTTTTTATTGCTTCTGCAGGTTCAGTCCATGCCACATCAATAGCAGCTTCCAGAGTGGAGCAAGCATTGTCCGAGGTTGCTTCATCTCTGCAAAGCAGTGCCCCTAAACAAGGTCCCCTGCATCCTTGGATGACTCTGGCTCAAATATGGCTTCATGCAGGTATTATGAAAGTAAAATTTATTCTTCTTTGTCCTCGCCTTTCTTGCTAGCCTAAGGACTTGCAAAAATCTGTTCGTTTCATTCAGAATCTGTTATCACTTATCAGATCAAATATTATCCATGTATGTGGCACTGAAGCAAGCCAAGAAATAAAAAGCACACTAGAGTTGTTCTGTATGTAAGTCAGTTTATAAAAGATAAGACAGTACTTTTAGAATGCAGTTGTTATCAATGGAGTCATATCTTCTGTAGAACAAAAGGAACACTCTCTCCCTTATCCCTGAAGAATTTAATTTCTGATGTACATAGAGAATCTTAATATATGGAAAATTAGGTGTCCTGATTCCGTTGAATGCAAAAAGATGTTTGTAAGATTATTGAATAGAGTTCTTGTAACTACAGATCTTTATAATTGGAAATAAATAACTCTGCATATGTGGGGAAAAAAACAGTAGTAGTTGAGCAACCTGTCCCTTGAAGCTGTGATAATGAGCTCTCGTTCAGTTCTCTTCCTTCTGACTTCATTAATGTAAGATACCCAGGATTGTTTGTCTAAATGTGGAGTCATCTTGAGTGGATTTAGTATTGTTATGCTGCCCCAAGCCTGAAGCTAAATGCAATATCACAAGTGACAGTTACATAAAATTTTAACCAGAAAATGATAATGCAGTGTATTTTTACACAGTTAAAAATGTATAACTTGCAATTGTTTTTAATGATATTTGCATCAGAAAGGCGTAATTTAGAAATCATCCAGCAATTGTTCTGCTTTGGTCTGCTCTCAGAGCATTTTTCAGTGATACGCTTTTTTTTTCCTTTCATGTTTATATTTAACAAAACTGTCCTTTATTTCTTAGCATTTTAATTTACCTATTTGCATTAACAGTTTTATTGTGTGAAAGTCATTGCAGGGCAAGGGCTCCCAGTTATTAATGGTTTAGTGGTTTAGAGGAAAAGCCCAGAAGATTAGAAAGAAAGAGCAATTACAGTGATTAATAATAGTGATCTCATTTGGGGGTGGAAAGGCTCCTTGAAAACAACACAGATTAGAACAAGGTAGGGTCCAACAGGGCATAGTGTAGTCTCCTGCCCTGCATCATGGCATCATGGATTTTAAATATTTATAAACTGTCACAGACAGCCATCCACAGTAACTCTTAGCATCTGTAATGCTGATAATTTCTCAGCCTTCCTTGACAACTTGTTGAACTGCTAATTTTCTGTTTGGCTTTTTTTAGTTTTTGTTGGTCATGTCCTGTTGCTGATTTTTCTATTCATGCAAGTGACTGCTGCTGTTTTGCCCACAAAGGAGGGGTCTGGACACACTTTTCTAATTCCTTTTTAGTTCACAACTTAATCAGATTTGCATACACATTGGTGGTTGGCTGCTGCAATCCACTACACAGGCCACTTTTCACTCTTAAAAATATCTATCTTGGCACATGTGGTCTGTAGGCCATATTCTTGACTCCCAGCAGAAGGAAGCATGGGTGGGAAGTAGGAGAGAGCTGGGTTGGACAATGAGCTGAAGTGTTAAAGATCCAGTAGAAGGACACTGCAGAGGATGAAGAGTGCTCTGCCTGTTTGTGTATGGGAAGCAGTGAAAACAAAAAAACCCCAAGAGATTAAAGAGAGCTGCTGTCTACCTTCAGAGAAGGTTCTGCAACCTGAAGTCTGCTTCCTTTCTTTTTGAAATGATCCTGTTCTTGGTGCTTCTGTTGGTGATTTGTGCTGTGTTTCAGAGTCTTTAGGTATCCTGCTGTTTAGCTGCTTGTCCTGCTACAGTAAATATGCTGAGCCTCGAGAAAGGCTCTTAACTGTAGCAACACTGAGAATAAAGTTTTTTCCCAGAAGCACAATACAAAACAGATATTCTGGAAGGTGTCTTCATCAGTGTATATATAGGTTACTTGCATAGAAAACAGCGATAAAATTACTTAACAAATTACTTAACGCCTTACAGCACATATTCTTTAAATAAAAGTGAAGATTTACCATTGGGAAATTGCTTCCTTTTTGAGACTCATGCCACATTTAACTGTTTGAGTCCCTGTATGGTTGTGCAGGGTTTTACTTCTTAATGGGGGAGAGAAAAATCTTTAATAAGCTTTAAATCTTAAAATACAAAAATTAAGAATTATTCTTCATGTAAGATTATAGAGACATGGAAAAGTTATGTAAATAAGTTCTAATACATGCAAAACTTAGTGGAAGATATTTACCCAAACTAATACAGGTGGTGTAAAAAAATAGAAAAATGCTTGTTCTTATGGATGGATATACAGTGTCATTTCAGCTGTCGTTAGTGTAAATGAGCATGGCATTCAGTCCATAGAAGTTGATTTTGTACACAGTAACTTGCTTTTAATTTTTCATCTTGTTTTTATTAATGGACTGTTTCAGCCTTTCATTTTTGGGCATATCATGTAAAGGTGGAAAATCAGGCTTATTTTAAATGTGAAACGAAGTGACTTTTGCAATTAGTCCATTCTTCAGTAGCTCACTGTTAAAAACCTGACCTGTCCCTAAGTGATCAATGACTGTGATAGTCCTTTGAGAAATGCATCAAGCCTGAACTCATTATTGCTATGCTGCTTGATTGGAAAATAGATTGATTCCTCAATAAAATGCACATGTAAGTGTTGGAAGTGTTTGAGCCAGAAGGCATTCTTGGTGTTCCCCAGGTGGAGATACTGGAAAGAGCACATCAGATTGGCACCTGGTTTCTTTTTAAACGGCTGCTCCTCTGAGATGTTCCTACAAAGTCTGCTGGCACTTGCCAGTTTTCCACAACTGATTTGTTTGAATTTGTCATGTTAGTTTTTAACATTTTTATTCAGTTTGAAGTCATTATCTCAGAATGAACAGCTCTCCTTTGAATTCAGAAATTTCTTGAATGAACTTTCATGCTTAACACTTAACTACAACTTCCATTTTCTAGTCATTCATTCATGCACAGTTTTTCAAAAAGCCTGCTATATGTTCTGTTGGGGTGGCGTAACTTCTGGTAGAGGAAAGGAGAAGATTGTTTAAAGTTATTACAGAGTTACTTTAAAAACAAAAGGAATTATTTTGTTTAAATTTAATACTTTTAGGAAGGTGTGTTAATAAATCAAGTTTCTCTGCTGCAGTTCATGAGCAGGACAGCAAGATTTATTATCTCTTACAACAGAAGATGAATTTGTAAGCAGTATTGCAGCCTAGTGTTAAAAGCTATTACTACTATAATTGTTTCTTCTCAAGAAATACAGAATTTCAACTGTATTCTGTTAAAATAGACAATCTCTGCTTATATTTCAGTCTAGAATTATTATGATAGCAGACAATCACCAATGGGAGTAATTTTTAGTTACTGAGTATTAATATCTAATAATTATCTTATTAATTGCCTAATTAATAATTAGCTTTACATAGTACCTTTTACAATCTGTGTAAATTATATTTTTCTGAACTTGTCTTTTCACCAAGCAACTGGGGAGTGTGTATTTCAAATTATGTTTCAAATCTGATGATGCTGGAGAAGAGACAGCAAGACCGGTAGAGCTCAAATGGTTAGCATTTAAATAATGTAGTGTATTTTGTACTCACTAAAATGTTGTTTCTCACATAGTACCTTTTCAAAAAGCACTCAAGAGTAACAGTACCCAAAGCTTTTCAAAAATATTGTAGGGTTTTTTAAAAAAACACCTCTCAGTAAAATTCACATTTTCTGCTCTATATACAGCTCAAAAATTAGGCTACCACTTACTCTTTGAAGTCTACTAACAGTAAAAGTAAAATCCTAGAAAAATTATATTCTCCTAAATTTTGATTTTGATTGCAGAATTTTATCTGTTCATTGTCTTCCAGAAGAAAGAACTTTGCTGTTCCTTAGTTATACAGTACCATCTCTGACTGTGTGAGGTGGTTCTTTTAGGGTTAGGGGAAAAAAATGTGACTGGATCTGCAATTTCATGTGTTAGTTCTTCATGTGGGTGAGACTTTTTCCATCAAATAACATTTTGGTAGTTTCTAAAAATATACTGCATTAATCAATACATCCATGTGGACACGCTGTGTTTGGTAGAATGTTTTCTGTGAAATCACCGAGTCAACTGAGAAGCAAAATAATACTCCTCTGGTAGAAAAAGATCTGTTGTCCCACCAGTAAGATCAGGTCTTGAAGGAAGAAAATAATTTATTCTTGCAATCCTACAAAAATTGGTTAAAAAAATAGAAAATGAGAAAGAACTTTAAACTGTGTTTGCCCATCTACTGCTACTGAAAGTCAATGTTTTGTTAGTCATTGTTATAAATTAATTTTGATGAAAATAATAATTGTGAATATTCATAGCAGGTATCACCTGTAAGTTACAGTTTATACACTCTGCTGTACTGAAGTTAACTAGTTAGAGATACTGTCAAGTCTGTTTGATGCAATTATCTCGGAGAAAAGCCTCTTTAAAGGCACTCAAACATCAGTCTCATTCAGAGTTTTAGGCATAATCCCAAATCCACTGTTGTAGTGTGAGTTCCTGATCTGAGAGACTTTAAACCAAGATGGGTGGCCTGTACAGTACAGCGAGAGGCATATCTTGAGCAGTGATAGATCACTTTGCTGTTTCAATGCAGCACCTTGATTTAAACCTTAATCTATAAAAACCTTGTACAGTGCAATACAATAGAATGCAGTTATACAATTACTTTGAGGCTTCACTTATTGAATAAAAATTCATTATTTATCTTATTTTTATTCATTTTTATTTTATAGACCACCAGGGGTCCCCTGGTGGTCTAGTGGTTAGGATGCGGCGCTCTCACCGCCGCGGCCCGGGTTCGATTCCCAGTCAGGGACCCCGGGCAGATGGAGCTCGTCAGCCCTGTAAGGCCATCCATCTAAGAGAAGGTCACTCCAAACAAACCTACGTCCCGAGGACCTCGCTGCCACTGTCCGAGCTTCGCTCGGCCCCGGCAGTTGAACCTCAGGATTAAAGGGTGGGCTCAGTTCAGCGCACACTGTGTCTCACCTAAAAAATCCACTGTGCAGGCTTGAAAGGTAATGACCTTTCCCAAATCTTCGTTCGCGAAGACTGGCCATACCTACTCATTTTTATTGGGTCTGTACCAACATAAAGAGAAAGATGACCCAACTCAGAATTTTTAATAGTTTTTTCTTGCATTTAGGATCTCTTTATTCCTCTCTTCTCCCACTCTTTCAGCAAGAGATTAGGATAATCCAGCAGGGTAGAGAAATAACACTGTTGAAGAGTGTCATAAGAGCTACTGAAGGCAAATACTTGTTCTATTGTTAGTTGTTAATTGCTTACTGAATGAACCCTTTCTTTTCGCCCTATAGTCAATCTGATTTACAGAAGTGTATGTCTAGCTACTCAATTGTTTTAAATAGTACTGGAATACTGACATGCTCACATCTCAAAAATAAAACTAAAATTAAAAAATCCCAGACTTAAGTTATAAATAACAAACTATAAAGAGAATTCTGGGGTTTAAAAAAGCCATTTAGAGGCTGTAACTCCTTTTATATCTAGAAGAGCAACTTTTCTAGAAGAATAATTAATTTAAAATAATTCAGGTAATAATTTCTCTTAAAATGCAAATTTTGGGGGGGAATATAGCCTTTGTTCAGAATGAAACTATTTACTAATAGAGCACATGTGACAACGTCTAATGTGACAATCTAATGATGAAGCAGGAATCATTAATTGATCCTCCCATTCCTTCCACAGCTGAAGTCTACATAGGGATTGGGAAGCCTGCTGAGGCCACAGCGTGTACCCAGGAAGCAGCTAATCTCTTTCCCATGTCCCACTATGTTCTCTACATGAGAGGTCAGGTGTCTGAACTTCGTGGAAATATTGATGAAGCCAAACGCTGGTATGAAGAGGCCTTATCTATTAGTCCTACACATGTGAAAAGCATGCAGAGGCTGGTAAGTCTTGAGTCTACCTTCATAAGTACTGTCATCTCAACTGATGATATTGTATTGTGAAATCGTGACCCATAGTTTATGAGTTTTGGATCTGTATTCTTATTAAGAAAATGCTTTGGAAACAGTCTTTTCTGGAATTTATTCTGTTGGGACGTAAAAAGGATCTGCAGGCAATAAGACTATTTCAGTCCTAATAGAGACTACAGAAAAAGAAATCATTTGCATCTGCCTAATATTCAACACCATTAGGAAATAAAGATGGCTTGTGGTAAAATACTGTAGTCTAGAGGAAAGACCAGTGATTCTGCTATTCCAAACTAAAAGTTGAATTCATAAAATCATAGAATATCCTGAGTTGGAAAGGACCCACAAGGATCATCGAATCCAACTTCTGGCCCTGCACGGGACCATCCCCAAGAATCACACCATGTGACTGAGAATATTGACAAAATGCTTCTTGAACTCTGTCAGGCTTGGCACTGTGACCACTTCCCTGGGGAGCCTGTTCCAGTGCCCCACTACCGTCTGGGTGAAGAACCTTTTTCTAATATCCAACCTAAACCTCCCCTGACAGAACTTCAGGCCATTCCCTCGGGTCCTGTCGCTGGTCACCACAGAAAAGAGATCAGTGCCTGCTCCTCCTCTTCCCCTCACAAGGAAGTTGTAACTGCAGTGAGGTCTCCCCTCAGTCTCCTCTTCTCCAGGCTGAACAAGTGCCCTCAGCCACCATCTTTATTGCCCTCCTCTGGACACTCTCTAATAGCTTAATATCTTTCTTATATTGTAGCACTCAAAACTGCACACAGGACTTGAGGTGAAGCCACACCAGCACAGAGTAGGGCTGATCTCTACATTCTGCATGTTTATTCGTTACCTTCATGCTACGTGGTTTCTTGAATTTTTGAAAGGTAGAGAATCAGTCTTGCCCTCAAGTGAATGTAGCTTTAAGTACAAAGGTGCCTTCCCCAGCATAAATGTATGGGTTTTTATATACTTCACATATACATACATGTATATATTCTGTGCTTACTATGTTAGGAAGATTACTTTCTCTCTTTTAATCCAGTTTTCTTCCAGATAGAGCAGAATATAACAGCTGAAATCAGCTTGTTACCAAATCTTTTTGTTCAGAAGTGGAAGCTGGTTCCTGCCTAGGTACTTATGAATTATTCAGAGAAATTTCTTGTGCATCCCCGAGGCAAACATATGAGACAAAAGATCAGATAGAAAGGCAGCACAGGGAAAATTTTTTGTTTCGCCTTTTCAGCGTTTCAGGATATTTGAGCCTGCTGACAAATGCCAAAAGGTTCCTTTTTCTGTAGGAGCAGACAGTCATCCTAAAGCAGTGCATCTCAGTGAAAATAAAACCTTATTTTTCTAGGTATCTTTTTGTCCCTCCTCTGAATCCACCTTTGAATAAATAGTGTGTAAACACACAATGCTCTTCAGAATAACTGAGAAATTAGCTATCTTAAGAGATATGTGAGATGAAAATTACTGGGCTTCCAATGAAAGTTTCCTTTTTATGAGCTTTTCTGAGTCCAAGCTGGGAGGTAACCGTTCATTTCATCGGATTGGCCAGTCCTTTACAAGAATTCTTATAATTTTAAATTTTGTTTCTGAAAGCTTTCTCTACTATTCTAGACGTTTTCTGCACTAAGATATTGTATTGAGTAGATTCTGAGAAATTTATGCTGTTTAAATACAAATATTAAAGATGTATGCTATAAAAATACTTGTCTATGTAATTTCATGTAGGGAAAAAGTACAAGATTGTGTTTACTTCTTGATCTTTGACTATTGCAAGAAGTATTTTAAGGAGGAAGTTTGCAATATTTAGTCTTTCCTGTGTGTATAGATTAATATCTGCACATCCCAACACTTAGTGTGTATTTACCTATTTATTATAAAGGAATATGATCTCAGTGGCAGAGGAGCTAGAGCCACAGCACTGTGGAGGTACCAGCCTCTATAAAAACAGCTGAAACATTAACTTCTGATATTTGTGTTCTCAATTCTAAGCTGACAGTTTGGTTTATGAACAAAATATCTGTGTAAAAAACCCTTATTTTCTGTGATGAATTTCATATTTTAAAATTATTTGATATGGCTTTCTAGCAATGCTTGGAAGGTAATATAAAATGCTACTGTTTCCTTGTAAAAATTACCTTAGAGCTTAGATTTATTTAATAAGCTCGGGTGAATTTCTTTTTAGAGGAGAAAATACCAAGTACAGATCATAATAACTTTATGTATAAAATGCAGCAAAAAGGCAATAAGATGTAAGGATGACACAAGTTCTAGCATGTAGCATATGTACACACCTCTGCCTCTCCAAGTAAATTTACTGGAAATAGTTGAAGCTGCAGTCAGTTTTAAGGATTTTTTTTTCTTTTGATTAAAATTTTAGAGTGAGTGACATCTGACACTCAGTAACATTTCCTGGTGCTAATCTTTGATTTGAGATAGTCTTTGTAGTTGTCCAGAGAAAAACAAAAGCTAAATAAAATATTTTTTTAAATTTGTATGAACGACAGGGGCATATTGGGAATACGTAAGTTTTCTCCTTTTATAATCCATCCTTTTAATGATGTTACAAAACTCTGGTAAGAAGGATGAAAAATTAAATTTTGAAGCTTTACTATTTTTCATTTTGGCCATAAGTCTTTTTAAGTACTTGTTCCTGAATATGATCTACTCTTTCTACACAGAAACAACCTTATTAATCTAAATTACTGAAGAAATGTGTGAATAAAGACCAGAAAGGTTGGTTTTATGGCTTCAGAACTGTTGTACTTCCTCCTGTGACTTGCAGCATGTGCTGTGCTTTGGAGTTCCTGCATAAAGACTCTTGCATTTGTCTCTCGTGTAGACTCCACATTCTGTTAATGTAACCATTAAGACATGCTCTCTGCAGAAGTCTAATGTATTATCTGAATGAAGTCACTTTTTATTTGCTGATATCAGCTGTTAAAAGATTATATTTTTCCAAAATTACAGTTTTCTAAAGAAACAAGTTCTTATTCATTTTGCTCCTCTCGCTAGGGTCTTCACTGATTTACTCCTGTTCCAAGAGATCACTAAAATGAAAAACAGGAGGTCTTGGCGATGGTGTCAAAACTGGAGCAGTTAAGAGTGATGAGAGAGATCTGTTTGCCAGCAAAATGATAATCGTACATGTGAGGGCTTGGGGGGAGGTTTTTGCCTTATTAATGAAAACCTTAGGACAGTGTAACACCAAATGTTGGTGACTTGATCCACGAGTAAATGAAAAATTGTTTAGCTGTGTTCTGCTTACCTAAACTTGAGAAATTGAACTAACTGGGTCATACCTCTGCATTACCTAAGATGTGAGCTATTCTAACAGAGAGCTGGCTGCAGGGGGCAGCGTGTTTGTGTTCATGCTCACTGCTATCTTTGCCCCTTATAAAATGTTGGGGGGGGGTTATTAATTAAATCAGCTGAACAACAAAACCAGTTCTTTAAAATTCTCTTTGGTTCCTTGTGCAACTGAATTATTCCTCATACAGTTAATGTTTAAATCCATACAGTTATTCACTCTGTTCTGTTGAGCAATGCTCATTTTAAGATCTGCCTTGTTCTCAGGTGCTATTTTTTACTGTTTGTCACTAACTGAAATTTTCTCCAAGCCAGAGGTCATCCTGGTTTGCTATTTGGCTAGCTCTGACTGTTCACAAGATGTCAAGAGGGAAGCAATAACATGTCAGTATTAATTAGGTGTACTTCAGAGAGAGCAGCAGCAAGGCTTTGAACAAATGCAGTGTCCTTTCTTCTTTTTAGGAGTTGTGTAGTGCGCTCAGGAAGAGCAACGCGAAATTGTGTTCTAAAGGTTTGAAATACTTCAGTTTGTGTTCTGTATTTCAAATAATTTTTTCTCACACCTAATGAAATTTAAATTTTTCTTTAATTACTTAATTTTGAAATTATGATTCGCACTTCAATTCAGTGTCATAAACACATGGTTGTCACCTGTCTGATTTTGACCAGAATGGATTTATTTGAGCAACTTTCTCCATTCTCCCTCCCCTTTATCAGTACCTCCAGATTTCTGCATTACTGCTGCCTTCCTGCTTTTGTCATTGTTTTCCTCCCCTGTGAAAAAAGAATAAACACACTTTTATCTCCTGCAGTCAGAGTGCTGTTGTGGAAAGTAGCCCTTACTGCTGACGTCCAAAAAGTCCTGAAACAGGCCATCATTCAGTAATGCCTGAAATGGCACTGAATATTTCAATCCATTGTCCAGGAAACAAATCTGTGTATTCTCTCTCAGGCTGAAAACTTCTTAGCTGAATGTAGCTTTGACATGAAATGGTTATCCAGCATTTGTATGTTGTTACAATCCCAGAAGACTGTAGTATTTTTTGAATATTAAGTAATTCATCATAGCACTTGCCAGTTAATCCTATTAGTAGCTTAGTTTCTAAGAGTAGAAAACTAAAACAGAAAGGGAGAAATTACTTAACCAAATTACTCATGTAGAAATTAGTTTTCAAAAAGCATTTTCTTGGAGAGTTACATTCCCTACACCACACTGTTAGATATCTGTTAAAGTTTCTATAATCATGCAGAACTAAGGCAGATCTCTTAAGGCTTAGATTAACTATGTGTGCTTTATCTCTCTGTCATAAATATGTTATTATTTATTTCTAACTGCACTGACAGAGTAGTCTTTAGAAATGTGAATTCAGACCCCATTTGAAGGGATTGTGGGAGTTAAAGAAGAGTAAGTCTAAACACAGTCACCCTAACTAACTTTTTTTCTTTCAGTAAGGCAGTGTTCTCATCTGGAGAATATTTGTTAACTCATTTGCTTTTCATTGTCAGGTAAAATTGTTGGTTTAGGCCACATAGGTTTGTCCTAAGCACATTATTCTGGTTCTTGTAGGTGGTTTGGGTTGTAACTGATTACCACAGAGCTAAATGCTAATGCCAAATCTCAGTCCTCATTTGACTTGCTCTCTAAGTGCATCCGCATGCAC